GGAATCGTTCTCCTTGTTCTTCACTGTAATCTCCCAAATTTTCAGGGAATTGATCCCGATGCGAGTCTAAGTAATGCAACTTTATGCTCATTAAGAATCCTAACTTACCAAAGTTTTTAATCATATCACTAACTATTTGCTCCCAATTTTCACTCTTGTGATTACCCAGAAAATTTCCGACAACTGCTTTAAAAGTAAGCCATGCGGCTTTCTCCTTTTTATTCATCTTGGTGATAAATTGCTCATCTTTTAACAATTTGCGAATGCGTGGTCCGTCGAAAACCCGTTCTTTTAGTTTCGCATCAGAGATTTCTGGAAACTTTTGTTCCAGGTATTTGAAACAGTTTCCTTTTTTATCTAAGGCTTTGACAAACTGTTTAATTGCTCCTAGTTTCGTGTGTAAGGGCGGAATTATCACCTTTGAAGGGTCGATTAGGGGATTTTCTATTATATTTTTTGAACCTGGTTCGAAAGAATTCCTTTTTCGCCATTGTTTTTTAATGTAGTGATTTGCTCGATCTCTACTGTCCCACAAACACAGGAAACATGGTGTTTTTTTAAAACCTGATTGTTGTCCAAGTAGTATGCTTAAAATCTTGAAATCTCCACAAATTTGCCAGTTGTGTTCTCGGTATCTAATTTTATCCAAAACTAGTTTCATATATTCATAGTTTTCTTTCATTTCTGTTGAATGCGCTATTGGAATTGGGGCCATATTGGAGCCGCCATTTTGAATTTTGTCAATCTAACTTCAAATTCGTCATCAGCGACCCAAAAAACCCCTAGATACCAAGATTGAAGTAAATCCATCAATTTTTAAAAAATAGCCTACCTCTCAAAATCCGTCAGGTTTTTGGAGGTTAGAAAAAAATCCTGACGTGATGGAGCAAAACGGACTTCGGATTCGTGTTCAGCGCGTCAAAATACATAGGAAATGACTAGTCTAGCCTGCCGCGCACGACACTGTTTTTTTGTGGGGCTGTGTAATTTAACGTGATTATTATAAAATGAATATTGATTTAGATGCTCTGGAAAGCAAAGTTCATTTTTTCTTACATTAGATTTTTTCGACCATCAAGATATTTCGATACATTTTCATGTGCTTTGCATGCACTATCTTTTTTAAGAAAGGAAATGTAGTAGTTAAGGAGGGGGGGACAAGGACATTTTTTGCAATTTTTCGAAAAAACCGATTTCTTTCCTTTCTAGCTCGCAGCCATCAAATCCAATCTGTCTTGATATATTTGTTCTATAACACTGTGCGTTAAAACCTCGACTTTTAAGCGGACATGTGCGTAAAAAGAGGAGAAATATACTTTTAAGGGACATCTTCCCCCACCCGCAGTACTCATGAACAGCGGTACCAACCTTCGAAAGCAAATAATTCCTAAGGCCGCTTCCGAAATCGACGCGTGCGTGAAACACATTCTGAAAGGGGCCTAAAGTTTTAGAGAAAATGGCGTAGCACATGTGTTTACTTGTTCGCGTTAATTAATATTAGTTGAAAATCATTACGTTGCTGTATTGTGTTCCAAATTATGTCTGAAAAAGAAAATTCTGAAAAAATACGCCAATTAGCCGAAAGTGCTAAGGAAAAATTAATTCCACAAAAAACTAAATCGGTGTACATAACCTCATATAATAATTTTTCTACCTGGCGAAAAAATAATAATTGTGCATCATTGTCAGAAGAAACACTAATGGTATACTTTAAAGAATTGTCAAAAACCAAAGCTCCCTCGACCTTATGGGCTACCTACTCCATGTTAAAAAAAATTATTCTACAAAATGATCAACTTAACATCAATCAATATATCAATTTAATAAATTTTTTAAAAATAACAGCCAAAAATTTTCATAGTAAAAAAGCCAAGGTCTTAACTGCGGAAGAAATTAATAAATTCTTAAACGAAGCCCCAGATATGCAACACTTAGCAACAAAGGTAGGTTGTAAATTAATAATTATGTTTAATCAATAATTTTAAATATTAAATTTTAATTTATTGATTTTAATTGATTTTCAATTTAATTGTTAATTAATAATTGTAACATGTATTTGATTATAATATTAACATATTTATTTAATTTAATTATTTATTATTTAAATTACAAGTTATGGATTTTGATAAGTTATTTTCAATTATATTTACAAATTCTAAATTCTTTTGAATTATTTACAAATTATGATTTTTATCAAGTTACGTACAATAAAATTTACAAATTGTTAATATTTTTAAATTATTAACATTTGTATTTACAAATTATAGAATTGAATAAATTATTTGCAAATTAAAGATTTAAATAAATTAATTACAATTATATTTACAAAATATATACAAAAAGTAATAACTATTAATAACTTGTACCAAAATATTTACATTTAGAATTATTTTTACAATTTTATTTTTAGGTAGCATTAATATTTGGGGTAGAAGGAGCATGCAGACGGGACGAGCTGTGTAATATCATGATAGAAGATATTAGTGACAATGGATCTCTGTATCAAATCAAACTTCCGAAAACTAAAACGAATATCATTCGGAGTTTCGTTATCGAAGGGGAATTCTATAATATTGTTAATAGAAATGTGCCAACTTCCTTGTTTTTTTTAAATTGGCAAAATGGGAAGTGTACAAAACAAGTCATTGGTCTCAATAAGTTTGGTAGCATGCCAAAAATAATCACCCAATACTTGAATCTCCCAGACTCTCATCTTTACACTGGTCACTGCTTCCGCAGAACATCTACCACACTTCTTGCCGACGCTGGAGCCTCCATGACCACCCTTAAACGACAGGGTGGTTGGAAAACCAACCAAGTAGTTGAAGGCTACCTTGAAGATTCGTTACCAAATAAAAGAAAGATCAGTTATTTAATTTCTAATTCCATTCTAACTTCTTCGGACACTGAAATCTTAGACGGAGCAAGTTCATCAAGTTCACATACTTTAGAAAAGAAAGATCTTTCCAAGATTCTTCATATCACAAACTGTCAAAATATCACAATAAATTTTGTCAGTGAAACTAAAAAATAAGGCTTAAATGAGAATCAATCTCATTATTGTTTTTTATATTTTTAATAAAATTTAATATTACCTGTTTGTTTATACTTCGCTAAAAACGAGTTGTGTTAGTATATGTGCCAAAGTTTAAAAACTAAAACTGCAACATGTACCAAAGTTTAAAACTAAAATTACAAAATAAGTATTTAATTACAATGAATATTTCTTTATCTTAAATAAGATTGGTATTTTATGTTATTTATTGAGATATCGACGAAAAGTTACAAAATTAAATTATTTTGTGTACCAAAGATTAAAATATGCAATTGCAAAAATAATATTAAACAATAATTTTAAGTTACTTGTCAAGATTTCGAAAAAGTTAGATACTTTAATAATTACTTTATTAGTCATAATTACTTCCAAAATTTAAAAAATAAATTACCGTACATATGATTTATGCGTATATTTATTTCATTCATTTTCTTGCTTACGTGCTTATTTAGAATAAATAATTATATAAAAAAATTAAAATCAAATTCTTATGCAGACTTTATAGTGGCTGTGGAAAATCTAGGTGTCTCGTTTTTAACGACAGTATTATAGAAAATAGGATGTGTGGCGTGGGCGCTATAGGGGAATCTCGACTCGTGTGAATGCCGCACTCGCTTCGCTCGTGCGGCAAACCTCACACAAGTCTCGCTTTCCCTATTTTAGCGCCCTTGCCACACAAATAACTATTCTTTAATTTACACGTAAAAATACGTATGTGTACTAAATGGCAGTTCTGCATATACCAAAATGTAGAAGTTAAGGGGGGGACAGGGTCATTTTTTGCACTTTTTTTGAAAAAACCCGATTTCTTTCCTTGCTAGCTCGCAGCCATCAAATCCAATCTGTCTCGCTATATTTTTTCTGTAATCTACACGTAAAAATACGTAAAAATCCTAAATGGCAGTTCTTTATATTTTAAAATGTAGATGTTAAGAGGGGGGACACAAAGCTGGGACGAACGCAAAAGTCTTTTCATAAGTGTTTCGTCAGTACACCAATGGTGTACGGAACCCTTATAATTAAAATAATAGTGACGTCAACGAGTATTAGAAAACGTCAACGCGAATAATTAGCTGCCTTTCTCTCTAAATCTGAATTAGCGACTATTCGCTTTAAATTAGTGACTATTAGCTTATTCTTAGCGCAGAGTATGCAGCTGGGAATAAATGAATAATCACTCATTGAAAATTCGCTGATTACTAGCGAATAGTCGCTGATTGCTGGCGAATAGTCGCTATTTTAATCAGCCCAGAGTATGCAGCTACGAATAAGCGAATAGTCGAAAATTCAAATTTAGAGAGTTGGACTTATGTTACTTACGATATTTTTATTTCAAAAAGGCATAAACGTGTTGCTTTTAGGTTACCTGACGTCCGGGTGAAAAAAACACCATGTTTGTACGTGAGGGATAAAAAAATTTTACTTTTTGGGGGTTTAAATTATTTTTGCAACGTTACATTTACAGGGGCAGTTGTCATCTGCAACCAAATGCAACAAAGGAAGGTTATCAAAAAGCTCGAAATTGGTGCAATGTTATATATGGATGATCCCGTCATCAATCATAATTTTTTTATCCTCTAAATGTACACGGAGAGTAGTAGTAGTATAGTTTGAGTATATGTGAAATAGAAACTTTTTTTTACTAAAATTAAAATGATTGACTGAGCTATTATATAGGAAAGTCAATTTGAATATTTGTACTCTCGAAAAGTTTATTTATCAAATTACGTTAACTAATAATACTAAGAATAATAGGAATACGATATAATTTTAAAAAACAAAGGAATTTTTAATAATTTTCTCTATGTCAAATTATTTACGACAAGACAAACTAATGATAGTCTTATGTGTTATATAATTGTGATAAAAGTATATATGACGCTACCAACAAATTAAATAAGATTGGAGTGATAAAATATACAATTTAAATTTAAAAATGTTTCAGCCTTTCGAACGAATGAGCCTGGCTGATGCACTGCTTCCAAAACAATATGACGATGGAGTGCAAATCATTAAACAGGGAGATTCTGCTGATGGAATGTACTTTGTTGAAGATGGAGTTGTCAGAATTACAATCCAGGGAGACAATGGTCGTGAAGTTGAGGTATGTTTTACATTTAATTATTCATTTAGACAAACATACGGACAGAGTACATTTGTAGGTGTCAGTCCACGTTCGGGCTGCATATTCCATGGAAAGTCTTTTTAGGAAAGGTTTGCGAATTAACTAACCACGATAGTGAAAAACGGTTTTCTACACGAAGAGAAAAAACGAGCCTTTACAGCATGCTCTTTTCGTACGCGCCTCTATCGTCCATCTTCGGTACTACCTCTTGCTGTAGTAGATCGGCTCCTTACTATTTTGGTACGGGCACGTGAAAATATAGCATAAGGCCTTACCAAACATGGGCGGTACAGGCGCGTAAGAAGAGAGCATACATAGGTCCATGCTGTAAAGACTCGTTTTTTTTCTCCATTCACCTTTTATTCTAGCACTCTTAAAGGGGTTTTTAAAATTTTTTAAAAAATCGATTTCGGGCTCTCATCATTTTCTGAAAGTAGACCATTTCGAAAGTATTTTCTGAAAATTTTAGACTGATTCGAACAATTTTGACAGAGCAATGTAGAGTCGAGTCCTTTATAGTAGTTTCGCTGTACCGAGTCATTCAGTCTAGTTTTCAAAATAATACTAGAGAAGGCAGAATGCGTGAAACTGAAGCTACAGGAGCATATTCATATTTCTCTTGATCTTCTAGGAAAATCATTTTATATTTAATAAAATTTTTTGGTTTGAAAATAATTATCGGTAGTTAATTAGTGAGATTTTTTTTTGTCACCATCCATAGATAATGCATTATCTGAAAATTATAAAACAGGAGGGGATTGAAGTTTTGAGTTTTTAGGTAACACTGTTATTTTAAAATCTGTATAACTTCTACAAAACTTTATAGATTTTAATTAGTCAATAGGGTTTTTTCTAGATTTTTATGTACTTCTCAATTCCAAAAATAAATGTTTAAGAGGTTAGACCACTGTGAAGACCGAAAATCAGACCCATTTCTAAGATTTTTTTTCAAGAACAGAAAAATATGAATTAAAAAATCCATTATATATTATTGTTAAATACATATTAAACTATTAAAAAATTAAAATTCTTTATGTCCTAATTATTTATAAATAATCAATTTCGGTTTAATGGCATTTTATGGCACAGTTACACCCATGACTCAGCCTCCCAGAAGATTCTACTTTTGTCAAAGATACAGACATACTGCCGATCAATATCGATCTGCACATCCTGTCTGCAAATTCTGTGCTAACCACCATCTCACAAAACAATGCAATAAACGTATTTCACAACCCAAATGTAACAACTGCGGATTTTCACATTTAGCCTATTCAATTGATTGCCCACGTTACAAATATGAATTTGAATTGTCAAAAACTTGTTACATCCAAAATCTTAGCTTTCAAGAAGCAATAAATTTTTTAAACTCAAAAGGAACTTTTCCACCAAATTCTCCTCGTATCTCCCCAAGAACAAAAAGAATAATCACACGACATCCTTATGCAATAAGAGTTAAGCAAAAAAAATTATGTGCAAAATAACCATTTTAATAACAATTTAAAAAAAATAATAAAAAATCTCTTTTTTTCTCTTTTTACCTTTTAATATATTAAAAGTAAATAATTAACGAACATAATTATTAGAAAATTTAATTGCATCATTTTAAATAAAAATATTAGAGATAGGCTTTCAATACAATAAGTGAGTGGTGTGTCCATGGTGTTAGCAGAATCATTTCTATTCGGTATTATCTCTCATTCATAGTGAAAAATGTCTGAATGAATATTGTGCCATTTAGTCGACTTAGGGACGTGCCCTCATAGAGCGAGATACAAATTGCAACAAAATAAAAAATTTAAATAGATAAATAGAAACAAATTAAAATAAATTCATATAATGTGAAGACGCGGAAGATGCAGTCATGCACTTTTCTATAAGCTTTCCGGAGTATCCAAGGAGTATTATTAATAAGCATATAGAACTAGAAACTCTTATTATAAACCGATATTATATGCCTTTCTGAGACATGGCTTTCCCCAGAAATAACAAAATGGGCAGTAAAAGAATATATAACATTACGGTTTGATAGATTACAAGGAAGGGGTGGGGATCTATTATTCTGGCGAAAAAAGAACTAATCACCTTTAAAGTAAATTCGAATAATTGCTGAGCAGAGATTTTTGAATTAACATCGATGGGTATAGAAACATCAATCGGTAAAATAATAATAGTTTCCATATGGGAAAATCCACGAAACTTTTAACTTTTGTGATTTTCGAATCGAACACTTAAAAATCTGAATTATTTTTAATTAAAACTTTGGGTATCATTTTTTTTTGCTAAATTATATACAAAGGTACATTTATGTACAATATTAAAATAAAATATTTATTTGACAATTAGCTTTATAAGTTAAAAAGTGAAAAAATGCTTAAATTTCATTTGAATTTCTTGAAAAAGTTTATATTCTTAACGTTTTTATTTTTGCGGCGTGTAAAATATCACTTTAGCTACTATGGAAATATCTAACAGACATATTTTGTCAAAAAATTTTCACTATCCCATTAGTGTGCCACCACTAAAACTAAAAATACGAAGGTTTGATTGAGTGATAGCACTTTTTAAAAAAATTCAATTGAACATCTTCTTATGAAAATATCTATTACGACGTTGGATAAAAATAAAAGTTAAATGCATTTCTTAAAAGGTGATGAAAAAACAAAATTTTCAAGATCTTTTTCAATGATGTGCCTCTAATTGTATTCCTGTGGCAACAATTTAAAAATGATAATAAAAATTGTGATTTCATTTAAATTTATACATTTTTGAAAGGCACAACTGCATTTTTGCTTTAAGGGGTAACACCACTCTAGCGGTAAGAAAAATAGCCTAACTTTGACGATTTATATTTGCAGTAGGATAAAAGGAATAGGATTTTTCTTCAGATAGGTTTATTTAACACATATTCAAGTATAAAAAATAAATTTAATATTATTATTTTAATATAAAATGGCGGCGATAGAGTCCGGCTTAATAATCTTGAATTTTGAAAACACCTACACGGGAGGACGATTTTCTAGGAAGGTGTAAGACCTAGAACAAAAATCCAAGAATTTTCTGAATCTCTACCCTATTGACTATTGAACTACGTAGGGGGTTTTTTTTTAATCAAAATTTGTACAAATGGTAGCACTTTGAAAAAAAAACGATTTTTTGCCAAAAAACAAGCAGTAAATTGTTTATAAAAAAAAACTTTACATTAAATCAAAAAACGGCTAAGTAGTTCCATAAAGAAGGTTATTGTGTAGTTACTGTTAAAATTTCAGATCAATCCATGCAACGGTGTTCGAGTAATCCGTCCTCCCAGTTTGAAAAAAGTGGTTTCGAGAAAAACGCGTTTAAAGTAGAACGAACACACAATGGGCCAGCAGACCTTTACAATGTTCTAAAATTCATAATTTCTGGAGTACAACAAATTTAAAGCTTTGCATGACGAATTCTATAGTTTTTGGGGTCACTGATTACAAATCTGCAGTCAGATTTTGAAAATTCAAAATGTCGGATCCAACATGGCGTTGTTCAGTGTTCGGTCATGACGCCTATATGATGCATTAGTGACACTCAAAGGGTTAAAAAAAATTTTTTTCGCCACAGGATCACCTGCCTATTGTTTCTACAATCCTAAAGTACATTTTAACAAAAAAAATCGTTTTTTTGAAAATTCTAGAGTGGTGTTATCCCTTAAACAGGTCAATCTATGGTGTGATCGAAACATTTTCATACATATATTTGAGGGTCCCGATCAAATAACTCGACCGACGCTCGGACGAACGCTCTAATGGTAGTCGGGTAGCAGTGAGCCGCCCATAGGCTGTCACTGCTACTTGACTGGTAGTAGAGCGTTCGTCCGAGCGTCGGTCGAGTTATTTGATCGGGACCCTCATTTGAACACAAAAACACTGCTTAAGGATTTTGTGTTAAATAAATTTTATTAAGTTAAAAATATGCTGAAAAAACTTTTTTGGAGTCTTTACCCCCTATTTTCTCAAAATTCTGACGTGCTAAGCAAATTTGAGTGCCAGAATCGTATTCAAAAGACAAAAAAATACTTTAGAAACCACTCCGATATCAAAAATTAAAAAAGTTGAATTTTTCAATTTTATATGTAATTTATTAACATTAAAGAGTTTAAAGAGTTAAACATTGACGGCGTAAGCTAAAAATAAATCACGCATATGAATTTGTAGTGCTAAAATGTACTTAAACGTGTATACAAAGTGACATCAATTTGCCTGCAAATTAAAAAAAGAAAATTTTTTTTCTTGAAAGTTAAAAGTTTCGTGGATTTGCCCATATATGCGGCAAAATTCCTGAAATGTCCGAACAAAAAATTAAAAGTTCTCGAATTTAATCCATACTTTTCTAAAATGTTGTTATTGTTGGTGAAAGTCTAAAAATCAATTATTATTGAATTTAATAAAATAGTTTTTGAATTACAACGTTTTTAATTTTTGACTTTTGAAAAAAAAAATTTTTCAATGTACAATATTTATAAGTAGAATGCATAAAAGTTAACATATATATAATGATTTTTAAAGCTTTTTTGCCGAGCTACACGCTGTTAATAAAATTTTTTTTTTTTAATTAACATTTGACCTTGAAATTCAAGGTCAAAATGTTAATTTACGTTTATCTCAAAATCGGATTTTTTAAAATTATTTTTAACTATCTCAATGAAAAGCTTGACTAATTTCCTACAAAACATGTAATTTTCAGAGTGGGATCTTTTAAAGTTTTTGAGATATTAATTAATTAATTAATTAATGTTTATAACAAATCAAATATTTTACAAACGAATAAAGTTACCGTAATTCTGAAGTTAGTAATTGAAAGTTAACGTAATTCCGCATCCAACGAGCACTATATGAAGTATTTTGGATAAGTAGATTGTTAATAAACAATTAGTTAACATTGCAATTGTTTATTAACAATCTACTTATCCAAAATACTTCATTAGTTAACATTGCAATTGTTTATTAACAATCTACTTATCCAAAATACTTCATATAGGGCTCGTTGGATGCGGAATTAGCTTAACTTTTAATTGGTTAGTTTATATTTACGATAACTTTATTTGTTTGTAAGATATTTCATTTTTTATTGTTATTTAACTAAAATTGAACAAAAATACCTCATATAGGGCTTTTGGATGCTTGTTGTTAGTAAAAAATAAAATATTTTACAAACAAATAAAGTTATCGTAAATCTCAACTAACCAATTGAAAGTTAAGCTAATTCCGCATCCAACGAGCCCTATATGAAGTATTTTGGATAAGTAGATTGTTAATAAACAATTGCAATGTTAACTAATTGTTTATTAACAATCTACTTATCCAAAATACTTCATATAGTGCTCGTTGGATGCGGAATTACGTTAACTTTCAATTACTAACTTCAGAATTACGGTAACTTTATTCGTTTGTAAAATATTTGATTTGTTATAAACATTAATTAATTAATTAATATCTCAAAAACTTTAAAAGATCCCACTCTGAAAATTACATGTTTTGTAGGAAATTAGTCAAGCTTTCCATTGAGATAGTTAAAAATAATTTTTAAAAATCCGATTTTGAGATAAACGTAAATTAACATTTTGACCTTGAATTTCAAGGTCAAATGTTATTTAAAAAAAAAGTTTTTATTAACAGCGTGTAGCTTGGCAAAAAAAGCTTTAAAAATCATTATATATATGTTAACTTTTATGCTTTCTACTTATAAATATTGTACATTGTAAAACATTTTTTTTTTCTAAAGTCAAAAATTAAAAACGTTGTAATTCAAAAACTATTTTATTAAATTCAATAATAATTGATTTTTAGACTTTCACCAACAATAACAACATTTTAGAAAAGTATAGATTAAATTCGAGAACTTTTAATTTTTTGTTCGGACATTTCAGGAATTTTGCCTCATATACATACATCCAGACAATTGATCAGGATCTCATATAACATGTTTCTATATAGAGAAAAATTTGTTTTCGCCATTTTGAAAATTTTTATAAACGAAAGGTCTACAAAGCATCCTCCACGAGGAAGCAAAAAAAAACTACATCATTTTGAAGATTTGAATATATAAGCAGAATGACACTTTTTTGCTCCATCCCATGGAAAAAATGCTTGTGATGGAATTCAAAGTACAGTTGAAAGGTACGTCAGAAGTGAAAATTTGCGAAGACCTGACACTGTACCAATTTCATCACCTGAAGCATTTTTTTAATTAATTAAAAACAAATTTGACACCATAACTTTTGACTTTTGTTCCAATCATGATCATAAAAAAGTTAAACAATCTAAACAGATTAAAGAACGTTTTAGAATATGTTAACCAATCAAAGGTACACGAAAATTTCATTCATATATTCTTGTTGCTATTAGTAAAATTCAATGCAAAATAGTTTTAAACTCCGATGACAGTTTTTCTTCAGAATTCATTATTTATATTAAGAGTGCTGAACAAAGAAACTGACAGAGGTTCTCAAACACTTTCCCCTCTTTTCTTAAAAATTTTAATTTTACCAATTTAAAAAAAAATTCAAACACTTTTACAAAAAAAGGGCTCTTTATCAAAAAACTATAGGGAATAAGGATTTTAGAAAATATTTGTTTGTCAGGATTCGATGTTTCCTCGAGCAAGAAAATTAATTCTAATATTAAAACTGACACTTTGCCACAGAAAATGGCCGTCACATATCTCATGAATATCTTAAGAGACGTATTGCCACGCGAGAATTTTAGTCGAGAATCTTGTTCTAAACGAGTTTTCTAAGGAAGAATGCAGATGGCAACAGAAGAGATGTTGAAACAAAATTTAGTATAAAATTAGTTATTTTCAATAAAAAGAAGTTTTCTAAACTTTAGTGGGAAAAATGCTTTTTATATAAAAAATAATAAATAAGAATTTAAGAAAAAAATTGTTTAGTTGTGTAAAATGTTTGTAGGTTCGTAAATATTATTTCCGCGATAAAAGTTGACAGCTTGTCGTAGAAAATGATTTTACCACGACAGGTTGCCTACTGAAAGGAATAATAGTTTATTGTGTATCGAAATCTTATAAGGTAAACAAACAAATTTTTGTAAACGAACATTTTTAAAAATATCAGTTTTTATACATTGATAAAAAAAATTGTTAATTTATATTAATAATAATTTTTTAATTTATACACTATTTTTAATTATTTAGAAAAATGGTTAATATGTTTTTAACACTTTATTGTGAAAAATATTAAAATTCAAAAAATTATTTGTAACAAAAATTTTTGGAAATTTTTAAAAATATTAATTAATAAATTAATAATAATAATAATAATTAATTAATATTTAATAATATAACGTTACGTCCAAATTCTAGGACAAGCTGTCAACTTTTATAGCGGAAATAACATTGACGCTTGTAAAAACACCGAATCTTAATAAACAATTTTTTTTCATAAATATTTATTTACTATAGATTTTTGGAAAAGAGTAATTTTTTTTGATAATGTGTCTGGATTTTGTAAACAAAAATTATTAAACACTTTCTCCTTTTTTTCTGAAAATTTTCATTTTGATCATTTAAAACAAAAAATTAGACACTTTATTGAAAGAAGGTCTCTGTATCAAAAAACTATAATCAATATGGAATTCAGTAAAAATTTGTTTGGTAGGATTTGATGTTTTTACTAACGTCAATATTATTTCCGTGATAAAAATTGACAGCTTGTCATAGAAAATAGACTTTACGCAACAGGTAGCCTATATAGAGGGATAATACTATATTAGTGTTAGAAATTATTTTAGCATCAAAAATAATTTAAGTTATATTTTTTTTGAAAAATTTGTAATACAAAAATATAAATAAAAGAATTTGTTTATGAAAATTATTAAAAACTAATAGAAATTACTATTTGAATTAAAAAATTATTTATTTGACACATTTTGGAAAATTTAGTTTTTTTACAAAACTAATTACATTTACTACTAAATTTCAAAAACTAATTGGGGTAAATGGGTACAAGAGGTTTTGGAGTTTAATTTAAAGTTTTAAAATTAAGTTGAACGTCAATATTTTAACCTTAGATCACCTGCAAGAGGTTTCGAGTATTGCCAAGCTTTTATCTTGACAACTGGCAGCAAGATAATTCAAGTTACCTATCGCTCAATGCATAAAAACTTGAAAATCAAAGTCAATCTGTTTCAGTATTTTGTCTTGCATTTGAAAAAAACAGACTTAAAAATCATACAAAATTTTTTTCTTATTCCTTATGACTTCCAAAACAGAAATTCACTTGAAATTTTGATTTTGTCAATTTGGTTAATAATGACGCAAATAAGAGTTTTGCTTTTTATAAAAACGATTCAGAAAAAATTTAAAGAAAGAAAAAAGATGAGTGCTGCCATCTACCTCCTAAAAAGCTCGGCTGTATTGATTTTATCAACAAATTTTTTCTCATGCATTTTAGGTTATGTTTTTAAGCTGTCACTTTTTAATTATCGAATTGCACATTGTCTTTAATTTTCTGTTATTTTCATTTTCAAATTAAATAGCGAAATGATCTCCTCAATTGTACTATTACCAAAATATCTGAAAAAAATTCGTTTAATTTTGAGTCGATTCAATTCGGACATGATTGATATAAATTGATTAAATTTTTTGCATCAAAAAATGAGACCGTTTCGTGTATCATTTCTAAAAATGATACACAAAACGATCTCTTTTTGATATAACTTATGTGCATCAAAACGTTGCAATAGAAAGAGATACAACCAAGTTTACTGTGTAATTTAAACTCTACGCAAAAAATTACCCATAAATTCATTACTGCTTGCTCAAAAATATCAAAAGCTAGAAGTCATGAAGAAAATCCGTACTGTGTTTGCCTTTTTTGTTTTGGAAAAACGTCAACAATAATTCTAATTAAAGGTGCAACAAATGATTTAGTCATAAGAAATCATTTGTTGCACCTTTAATTGGAATCATTATAGACGTTTTTCCGAAACAAAAAAGGCAAACACAGTAACGATTTGCTTCATGACTTTTAGCTTTTGACATTTTTGAGCGAGCAGTAATAAAATTAAACAATGTTATTAACAAACATTGAGTATTATTTCTGACACTTTTAAATTTAATACTTGACAACTTCATAAAGAATTGATTCATGATTAGATATCGAATTGATTAATATTCAACTGTTTCAAAGTAAAAAAAATACTATAAGTAGTTAAAAATACACAAAAATCGACTTTATTCGTAAATCCCTCTACCGATTTTTTTCATCTTAAGTTCAAATTTCTCATAAAATAATGTGGAATTAATATCTGAAGAGAGACGCGATGGGCCAGTACTTTTGGTTTAAAGTTAGTCCAAGCCCACCGTGTACTTGGATCGCTTCGTGAATTTCACTCGATTATTATATTTTTTGCAAATTGATTGATTAATGAGAATTGAAAAATTGTGCTAAAGACCCTTTTCATGGAAAGACGGTTGTCAAATATGTAGAAAATTATTTTATTACAAAATGACAGTAAATTTTTTTCGTGAACAGGTGAATCGTATTCCTGCTGGCGGTTATTTAGGAGAATTGGCTCTAGTGACGCACAAACCTCGAGCTGCATCCGCTTATGCTGTCGGAAACGTCAAACTGGCCTGTAAGTAAATAACACTTTTTCTTATTAGAGTTTAATTTTTGATTTGGCTTATGGCCTTATCACTTCAAAAATAAGTGACTTACTTGGTATCTTAGAATAAGATGTAATATGAAAAATGGTATCTTCCATCTTAAAAAAATATATTTTGTAAAGTATCACTTTTTGTTAAACTCATATGTATTTTTAGTAAATTGACTACTAAAGTAGGGGAAAAAACGAGAAAAAGACGAAATTTCTTATTGAATAGAAGTCTCTTTAACAATATATGACCTCTTTTTTCAATATTTAGTAGTCAAGTTAAGAAACATTCGACGTGGACAGTATCGTAACTAAAAAGGGTTAGATGAAGCCCCGACTTAATCGCAACAATTATTAATTAACTTTTAATTGAATCATAAATAATATTAATGAGGCTTTACTTTAGGTTATTTTTCTTTTTCTGTGTTTAAAATTTCACAATCCGGTTAGATTATACATCGAAAATACTGTTTTTATGAAGTTAGGGGCGCTTAAAACATACATTACTCTCCTGAGCACATGTGAGCTTGTCTATGAAACCTTCCCAAAAAAAATATATCATGTCATGTACATCTCTTATATCCAAGCTTATAATTCTTTTAATTATTGAGAATCAGTTTCAAATGAACACTATTTTTGTTTTTTTTTTTGTAAAGTTGAAGTGTAATTGTGTTACTGCGTGTCAGTAAAAGTGAGGTTAGGTGCAAGACAAGACAGCGAAAACACCAAGGCGAAGGAACAAGTTCTCATCAGATCACGGATACGTCATAATGAAATTATAATTGAATTATAAAATTCATAAAATATAAAATACATTAAGTATCTTACATAATAGGCCATAGTTAACCTCAAAAATTTTTTCATCAAAAATATTTCATGGCAAAAATACTATTAACATCTTAAACTAAGATATTTTAAATAACTAAAAAGTTACTACCAAAAAAAATGACTACCAAAACATCTTATATTAAGATACATACTTCGTTTTGCAGTGATCTTAACACAAATAAAATATCTGAAATCGATAGGATTTCTCCTAAAGCTTCATGTATTGAATGTGCAATCTTCGAGAAATTGTGTTGTCTTCTTTTCTGTCGAATATTTTAGACCGCGTTGGTACTGTCTTATACTTTTTGATGGACTGAAGAGTATGTGCGAAAAATGGATCAAGTTTGAATTTTTGGAAAGCTTTGTGACAAAAAGTCATCTAATCGATTTACATATCGCGCTGTCATATATGTTATTTCGTTTGCAACTGTTGACTTGAAAGAAACATTTTTCTAAGTTAGAATCAAACTAACTTGTACCCAAATTGGGAAAACATGTAGTAATCATCGCGAAAAAATTGAAGTGTCGCTCTACGACGTTAGAGATTGCACCCCTGGGGTGCTATTCTGTAATTTCATTTCACTTTCGAAAGTGAAGTGAAAGTGAAGTAAAATTACAGAATAGCACCCCAGAACACTTAACAAGCTTTTATGGAAAAATCTCTTGCTTATATACTAATTAATGTTAAATGTGCAAGTGGGGAAAATGACATATTTGTTTAAGGGGGAGACGATCTAAAATAGAATTTTCTTCTTTATGTAGCAATGGACTAAATCGCACATTACATTATATACATTATTATCGCACGTGAGTCTTCTTTTTAGAATCTTCTGCGCAACCGTAAAAAATTAATATATTATAATTATGAACAATTTTAAAATGAAACATTACAGATTTAATTAAGTCATAAAATTTCGTTTGCATTCTAGACAGACAGGCATTTTTTAAGAATATTTTAGACAAAATATAAAACTATTAAATCGACAGAATTATATTTTAAAACATATTTTAAAAAAATTAAAATGTCCCACTGAAATCAAGAAAATTTTTAAACGCAGCATTTTTTGCCGTAGGTGATTTGTATTTCGTTTTGAAGCTTCCGATGTATTTCTCTATATCATCAGTTTCGGGTTTCGATATAGATTTCGTTCTCGGAATTTTCGATAGGGACGTCAAATAAGCACACCTCTAGACCATTTGTCTCCGATCAATCTGAATCATGGTAGAATTGATGTACTAATAGAGTACACACGGAAAAACATTTTATATTAAAAGACAATAAAAATGGTAATCCATTTTGACATATACTCGATATGAAAAAGTGGCTATTCACGGTTCGCTAAGAGTTATTCATAACTAGCTGTCTACGTCTACGTACTAGCTTTACAATAATTGTTAAAGTAAAATTGTGTGAATATAGAAATTAATAAATAAATAGTAATATAGTAAATAATTGCAATGAAACATTCATATTATCAAAGTTTGAATTCATTTCATGTCACATATTTGTAATTTCTACAAAAACTGTAAAGAATTTTTGTTGTTTTTATTTGAAAAAATTTAGAATAAATTTATAATTTAAAAAACAATTGTTAAACAACACTGAATTTTAAAAAAGTATGTAAACATTACTTAAAATTGTTAAGTATACAATAAAAAGAGAACAAAATTTCGAAAACATTTTCAACTTTCGTATTCTGAATTAATTATATAAAACGAATTTTACAGAATAATGCTCTATATTTTTCTATAACGATTGTAGAATATCGTTTTAGATATGTTACCTAACAGAGTTCTAAAATAATTACAGAACATTTGTTACAGAAAAATTCCAGAACAAAATTTCAGAACTTTTCTGTAACATAATTGTAACGTTCTAGATGTCTGTTACTCCTTTGTTTTAGAATAGTTGCATAACGTTATTGGTACAAATATTCTAGAACTATGTTCTTTTTATATTATAGAATAATTGTGGAATGTGTTCATTGGGCAGTTATCTTTTTCTTTAAAAATACAAAAATACATAATTGTACTGAATAATTATAATTGGAATACTTTTGGAATTTTTTGGATGTATACATATATCACGTTTCATGGGAGGTTCGCCATCTTCGCTAACAAATACAACAGCTACTTCATTACAATGCGGAATATTTAAAGTTTTATTATTTAATAATTTATCACGTTTAATCTACATTTCAATATCTCTTACAGGCTTCTCTATTAAAGCCACTCGCTTTTCTTCTTCAATCTCAAAAGATCGCATCATTCTAAATGCTTCAACATATGGATTAATTTTTCGAAGTAAAATATCTACATCTTGATTTAGATGAAGAGAATATGTATTATGATAGACCTGACCGTGTATACGAAAAACATAAGGCCCCTTCCCTTTTGGAACTTCTAATTGAGCTCCCATACTCGCAAAAGTTAACGCGTTATTATACAAACGTATATTCTCTTTAAAGTTTTTGCTTTCACACGTGGAGTCATGTAACAATTTAATTAATTCATCAGGATAAGCACTTAAATCATCTAACTTTACTTTACCCTTATGACAACAACTACTAAATTCTTTATCTGACACGACTTGGACCTGGCCTTAAGCATCTGAGCCATTGGAGACAGATAAAATCCTTTACAAAGTTTACGAACTTATTTGTTAATGAAATGAATCGAACTTAAGAAACTTCTATAACATTTATCTTAAACAGTTTTGATGTTTACGTTGAACTTAGAAAATAAAATATAAAAGTCATTTTTATAAAAAATTTTCTATTTTCAAAATCTGAAAAAGACGTCTTTTAGACATGAAAAAGACATCTTTATGAACAGACATAAGACCTTTTTTGGACCGACCTCAGACATATTATTCACGTTTTTAAGATATACCATACGGGCACAAATTAAAGACGTCTTTTGTCACAAGTCCAAAAGACATCCTCAGGACGTCTTTTGGGCAAGTGTGCCTTCTGAGAATACATTAAAATTAATAAAAACATTATATTTTTATAATTATTAAACAATTATCATCTCAAAATGCATAAATCTTATTAATTTTAATCATTATTAATTATCAATTTCATCATTTTTTATACATTTTAGATAAAATTGCAAACTTGACCTCGTGTGGAGCATTCGCATCATGCAATCCGCCAGTGTGATTTTAATTTTTTTTTCAAAACATGTTAAGTTGAGTTGCACGGAAAATAGGTTAGTTTGACAACTTTGGAAATTTTATAAAAAAGAACAGAAATAATTTAGTTATTAAATTTTTTTTCATTGATATTTGTGGAAAATAGTCTAATTTACCAATGTTAATTGATAATTATGTAAAAAGGGTCAAAATACTACGTGAAAATTAATATTCAAATTTGCCTGTAAAATGTCAAAATTTGTCACATTTTATTTATATTTTCCAAGAAAGTTTATAAATATTATAAAATTTATTACTACCTAACAATAAGTACTTTCCAAGCACTTTCACATGATATGTTGGCTTTTTATTTTTATAATATAGAAATATGTGAAATTTTACCTTGAATGTTGAACTTTTCAGGATTGTATCTGATTTTGAACACTTATATCTTCGCAGGCGATTAATGAAAAAATCCCATTTTGGTATTAAAATTTAAGTTAAGTTTTCTTTATTCATCTTATCAAAATTTGGTGATGGAGAACGAGCTATTTTTTATTTTTATTCACTTTAAAAAATTCACCGTAAAATACGAATTTGAAGGTTAAAAAACAAGTATTTTTATAAATAAAATTCATACAAATAAATCTATATTGAGAAAACCAACTTCAGTTTTATAAAATTACTTGTTTTTTAACCTTTAAATTCGTATTTTAAGGTAGATTTTTTAAAGTGAATAAAAATAAAAAGTAGCTCGTTCTCCATCACCAAATTTTGATAAGATGAATAAAGAAAACTTAACTTAAATTTTAATACCAAAATGGGATTTTTTCATTAATCGCCTGCGAAGATATAAGTGTTCAAAATCAGATACAATCCTGAAAAGTTCAACATTCAAGGTAAAATTTCACATATTTCTATATTATAAAAATAAAAAGCCAACATATCATGTGAAAGTGCTTGGAAAGTACTTACTGTTAGGTAGTAATAAATTTTATAATATTTATAAACTTTCTTG